TATTTGCCATTGATCAAATCATCACATATTATAACAAGATGTAAGAAAACTTAGACTTATATTCCTGCAATGCGTGGCTGAAATAGAATCTCCCCCGTCTGAAATCGTTCTTTCGAAAGAGTAAACCAACCTTCTGCAACAACTTCAAATGACCCTTCTGTATCTTTAGATAGTTCAACATCATAATCAAGAGCAACATAACATAGGTTCTATGAGTGCATTAAACCCAAACAAAATCAGGCAATATGTATAGTGTGTGATAAAGAAGGAAAGTATTGTACAATTACCAAAGTGAAGTCAAACATATGCAAAAAAGAAGTAATAAACATTATACTAGGGTTCAGTTGTTATTTTGTGGAGGACCCTCTGGCATGATCTTAACTGTTCAAGTGTGGAAAATTCACTTAAAAATCTTATTAGCAGGATTCATATACTTCAGTGCGGGGATTGAGCAAAACCCTCCCAGCATTTGAGACTCTGCTGCCAAAATATGTCCTGATCAAATCAAATTAACAGCTAGAAAATAGTTGGTGTTTTAGAAGGTTTTTGTGGTCTTATGAGCTATCAACCTGGCTATTGGGGGACAAGTATATAAAAGCACTAAGAAGTGAGATTTTCATGGATTAGCATTAGCTGTAAATGCAATATCCAATAGAGACCAGGGCTTTGAATTATCAATCGGCTTTCATCAATTAGACAATAAAAAAGGTTGTCCCTAGAAAGAGAGCTAACCATATGGGTGTCTTGAATGAAAATCTAAAATTAAATAGGCATATGAACTCTTAAATAGGCATTTGAATGAAAATCTGAAATTAAACTCTGTTTAAACTCAACCATTTAGGAGTTGCTGAAAAAAGTGTTACTATCTTATGAATCACACCGATTCCTATTTGCAGTAACCCTGTTTAGAGATCTTATATTCCACTCGTCTTTATAATTCTTCTCTGTCTCGTGTGTGAATGAGTTGAACATGCATTTTCAATGATTTGGCTTCATTTTCTCCATGTTGATAGTGCTATTTTGATCTCCTATGCATTGTAGATACCGCTTGTCTTTCTTGTTATAGAATTCTGTGTGTGAATAAGAGTTGCATAAATTTTGTAAGAGTTGACGGCCTAAGCCAAACCATGTAAATTATCTGTTTTCTTCTTTATCATTGTGTTTGCATCAATTTTCTACTTTGTATCCGATTTGAAATTTGTGTGGGTTTGTTAGGACACTTGTCTAGTTGCCATTGAGGTATATTGTATGGGTTATTAATGAGGACATCTATATTTCTTCTAATAGATAACTGATTTTTTTTTTAATGTTTATTGTTAAATATAGCTATTAAAAACTTGGACTGGAAAATCAGCATCTTGACATTCTTATTTTTATGCTCTCTCTGGTTTTAACTTTTAGTTTGCGAATGTAGGTATATCATATCTCAAGAAGAAAGAAGTCCGCACCCGTCTAAGAAAGGTGAGTATAGTCATGTATGTCCACACCTGTGGTTTGATTCCTAGATTGTAACAGTTGCCATACTTCAAAAAATTCACACCCTGAATAACACATCACAAAATATCAATTAATGAAGCTCATGGATAGATAATGTGGTAAAGTGGCAGAAATTTCATCTAAATTCATGAATTCCTGATTAATTTTAAGGCACATTTATCTTGGTATTTATTTATTTATTATTATTGTTATTTTTTTTAGATTTGGAGGTAGTATATTGTATGGGTTATTAATGAGGACATCTATATTTCTTCTAATAGATAACTGATTTTTTTTTTAAATGTTGTTAAATATAGCTATTAAAAACTTGGACTGGAAAATCAACATCTTGACATTCTTATTTTTATGCTCTCTCTGGTTTTAACTTTTAGTTTGCGAATGTAGGTATATCATATCTCAAGAAGAAAGAAGTCCGCACTCGTCTAAGAGAGGTGAGTATAGTCATGTATGTCCGCACCTGTGGTTTGATTCCTAGATTGTAACAGTTGCCATACTTTAAAAAATCCACACCCTGAATAACACACCACAAAATATCAATTAATGAAGCTCATGGATAGATAATGTGGTAAAGTGGCAGAAATTTCATCTAAATTCATGAATTCCTGATTAATTTTAAGGTACATTTATCTTGGTATTTTTTTATTTATTATTATTGTTATTTTTTTTCAGATTTGGAGGTAATTTGGTAACTTTCTTTTTAATTTAGAGAACGAACTATTTAGGTGGTTGTTTATGAGAATTATTGCGCCCTTCCCTTATTTGGAATACCTTCAAGTTCTCGTTTGTCTTTGAAATACTTGTTGGAATTTCTGGAAATTCTTAGTCTAGCAAGATAGTCTTATACTTCTATATAAAGTTAGCTTGCAGAGACAACGATACAAGTTTAGATAAAGAAATTTCTGGAAATTTCTCTTACATTTTTAGTGGTGGTGAGACTTCATTGAATCCTTCTAGATGAGATTCCTAGAAAATCTCAATGAGATTCAAAGGTTCTTCTTATATATTTAAATTCCAGAAAGCCTCTGCATAAATAACAACCACATCTATCTTTTTAGTCACCTTAACTGAGTCCGTAAAACCCTTAGACCTTGATCCAAACCCTAACCTTTATATTCTAACTCTAAAATTTCTCTGTTGTCCAGAAAATTCCAGATTCACCCTACAGCCCAGAAAATCCGGCAACTTATCTCCTTAAATTTCCAATTCAAAACAGCATCAAAGTTCAATCATTCTGACCACTATCTATGCTCAAATCCTCAATCCAATTTCCAAACCCTTGACCATTCCAAACCCATGATATTTAATTATAAGGCATCCTTAATCCACAGGGGCTAAGGAAAACACTTGACTTTTTCTTCTTCTTATATTTGATAAGATATCTCACAAACTAACCCAAGAGGCAAAAAGCTCTGCTTCATCATTTTCATGGTAAATTGATCCAGGTTGAACTCGACATGTATACATCCTACAAATCGAGTTGAATAAGTCAGAAGACAGAAATCAGATTGTGACAGTAGTATAGAACACTTCAGAAATAAAAACAAGATAATAATTTAATTGTGATCTAATTTATAATCCTTCAACACAATATTAGGAAATTAATTTTGCCCAGCATCAGAATAAATTCCAAGCTTGAGGCCTTTATCATGTACATAGTCAACCAGAGAAAGAAAATAATCTTGTGAGGTGTGTATGAGCTTTTCCTATGGCTTATGTTCTTTAATATCTTTTAGTATACTATGATAAATGCTCATTTAATTTGATTAATATCTTTGTTTCTGATTAATTACATCTATTATTTGTCTAGCAGATATGGCAAAGAAACGATTTAGAACTTGTAATATTGAGAATGAGTCACAGCGCAAGCGATCAAATGCCTTTTCACAGCCTAGCCAGCCAAATAACCCTTCATAACTTAACGCACCAAGTGGAATTTCACAACCTAGTCACTCAACTGGGTCTCCACAGCTGAACTTGCCAAATGGAACTTCACATTCTAGTCGTTCAAATGATTCTTTACAACTTAATCCGCCAAATGGAACTTCACAGCCTAGTCGATCAAATGGCTCTTCACACTCTAGTTGGTCACATCCCTCCTCACATGCTCCGTCACATGTTCCACATCCTCAACCTCAAGAATCAGAGGTTAACCCTCAGTTTGAAGATGATTTAGATGAGGACTGGTTAAGGGAAGAAGAAATGCAACGTACAGGTATTATTATGTTTTTAGTTGAAATACAAATTACAAGTCAATCTTCATTTCCATGTTATGTTTCATTGTTGTATTGTAATAGATGAATTGACCAAGCGAAACACGCGGGGAATTACACGTATGGTGGAAGTGTGGAATTTGACTCCAGAAGAACGCATTGTGCTCACCTTCAACAAGGATTTGCAGGCTGTTTCTACAGAGGGTGGTATATTCAGTCGCTTCATAGGCACCATTGCTAGGAAGCCACACTTATGCCCAATTAAGTACAAGAATTGGCATGACATGCCAGATCAGTATAAAGAAGATTGTTGGAATATCATCGAGGTAATTTTCTAACTACAAGTATTTTGTGATTATTCTACTATAAGAGAGATGGGTATATGCATGTGAAAAAGACAATCTTTCATGCTATTATAGTTGAAGTAAAAAGCATAATTTGAGAATTAAGGCAAAAAAATTCACAAATGCAGTTTATATTATTGTATTGATAATTTTAAGAATGTTCATAACATGAAAAAACATACAATTGTAGTCCAAGTTTGCCAATCCTCAAGATGAGAGAAGGGATATGATTAGGCATCAAACATTGAAGTCAATGGGAGAAAAATGGAGAAATTGGAAATGTAGTTTAAAAGCAAAATACTATGATGAGACAAAGACAGCAGCACAGATAGTAGCTACTGCGCCTTTAACAGTTAACCGTGAGCACTATGCTGACCTTGTCGCGTATTGGTTTTCAAAAGAAGGATAGGTATGCATAAATGTATGTTTTCTATCAAATAATACAATGTCATTATATCATTTTCTTTTTTAACATACTGTTATGCATTTATGAGTGAAGGAGCTTAGTATGACCAATAAAGGAAGCCGGCAAGAGCAAACAAGTGCACATACAGGAAGATCTAAAACTTATGCACAACATGCATATGATATGGTATTTCAAACTTCATTTCTTGTTTTATATTTTGAATTTGGTTGGCACATTGTATTATGATTTTATTCTCGAACGATATGATTGTTATATAGGAGCAAAAAGATAAGATTGCACTAGATCGAGCAAAATTATATGTACCGCTTCACAAAAGGAAGGATGGGGCATCGGTAAATGAAGCAGCAGCTGCAAAAATTGTATGTCCACTTAATAAGTTACATTTTCAAAATTCTAATGTGTTTGTGGCAAACAATCACTCTCGCTCTTTGTGTTCTTATTTTTTTTCCCCATTTGTGCTATAGGAAAAACTAGAAGATTTGATGAGGTCACAACCAAGTAGCTCTGAAGGAAATGTTATTGGACGGATATGTTGGTCACCAAATGATATTTATTCTCAAGTGATGGGTAAAGAGCGTCATGGTCGTGTTCGAGGTTTAGGATTTGGGCCCACTCCTTCCAAGCATGGCTTCATGTGTAATAGTGACTTAAGAATGGTTTCAGATGAGGAGAGAACGAGAGACAAAGAGGCCATAATTGAGTTGAAGGAACAAGTAAAAACTCAAGGTGATCAGCTGCAAACTCAAGGTATTCAGTTGCAAGCTCAAGATGCTGTAATAAACTCTTTAAAAGAGCAAGTAGCATTTTTGATGAGACAGAGACAGTGTTCTAGTGGTTTGCAGGTATAACTACAAGTAAACATATTTATTTAAATGATATATTTATCATGTGTTATGCTTCTCTAAATTTATGCATACTCATGTAAACTTTATTGTATAAATTAGGCGACAGATGGCTCTAGTGGCATTCCGGACCAGGCTTCTCCACAAACACATTAGAGATCCTCTTTTGGGAATCATGAAATGCAACCTTTCAATCGGGGTAAGTCATCATTACAATACACATACATTGACACAAATTTAGAACCAATGTTAATGACTTCTCTACCAATAAATTGTTAGTTGGTTTGGAAAAAATTGGGATTTGATAGGATGACTTTCTACTTTGTTTCCTTTACTGGCATCCGTAAAAATACCAAACAAACCAGTGAAATAAAGAATTGGGCAATCGAACAAATTTGAATATCAACAATGGATCAAATTGTAATATACAATTAAAAAATAGACCCTTGGATGTTGCTATTGGTTGCTTGATTTAGTGGTTGTTACTAATGTTTGGCTTTATTGGTTGATTTAGTCCAAATGCCAACATGTTGGCATCTTATATTTTATTTGGATATGTTTTAACATCCTAGCTTTGGAGTCTGCCCTCAGGATATATAAGGAAAGAGAGTCTTATATTCAAGGGCACATTGAAAAAATAGAGAGTATTATAGATAGCATGAGTAATAACTTCTTTTCATCTACGAAAGAAAGAACACTTGTCTGTAAGCATCTTTCAATTGTAATGTTTATGTTTATGGTATATGAATAAAAGTCCATTTTCAAAACTGTTGTTCTTTCATAATATAATCCTCTTCTTGAGTGATACACTGACTATGAGAGATTGGGAGTAGGGTGAGGTAATGAGGCTATAGTGATTACCTATAGGCAAGAGACCACTTGGGAAAACAGAAGCTGAAAGCAACATCCAAACTTAAAAGACCTTGTGGAAGGTGTTCCTCATCAGAGTTCTATACTTAGGAGTAATAGCAGGGGCGAGGTGGGCACGTATTTAGATATAATTTCCTAGACATTAATGATTGTTAGTTGCTTGCTTACATATTCTAAGCCCTTTACATGTCTTCACCCATATCTAATCTTAGAAATCAACTTGCAGTGCTTAAAGAACAACAAGAAGAACTAACTGCACAAATTGAGAACAATTTGTTTCTTAAATCTTTAGCCGCCTTACACTTCTGCATTACTGTATTTTTTCTTTCCATTTGCTGCTATTTTCTCTCTTAATGGATGATCTATCTTAATATGTAAATATGATCTTCAACTTGAGTATGGTGATATTTTTTGATATGTAAACCATATACTTACCAAAAAGATAAGACTTGTCGAGAATTATTTGTAATCTAAATTTTCTTTATAGATTTTGAAATGGAAAATGATACTTATACTCATTCAATCATTTTTATTGCAGGAAATAACACAGTATGAAAGCATCAATCAATGGACGTCATTTCTTGATTTGAACATTTTTTATGGAGGTCATTATAAAATGGCGTCATGAGTAATACTTTTGAGTACTATTGTCCTGTGACAAGTTTATATATACCTTTTACATTATGGTGTGGGCTATTAGTTTGTTAGAATTATTGGATCTTTTTTGTATTACAGGCTTATGTAATGAACCTTTTAATTAAGGTGTTTTGGAAATTTTGGGATTATAAAAATGCAGCTTCTTTTACCTTTTACAATTATTGAGTATTAAGCCATTAGAATAAAATAGTGTTTTTATAGATATATAATGTGAGCAGGGATAAGTGAGAGACAACCATTAATGGTTAGCAAATCATTGAAAATTTTAAGCTATATATTATTGGTAATTGATTTGTAAACATAGCATATAACCGCGGTTAATAACCGTCACTGCAAATAAAATTCAAAAAGAATTTTATGGTTATAGCGACGGTGTAAAATTGATGGAATAGAGTTAAAATACAGCAACGGTTCAGAAAATGTCACAAAAGTGAAGGATATAGCAGCGGTCGACACGTCATTATAAAGTTAGCAAGTAATGGGTAAATTTAAGATATAGTGACATTTATAACTGTCACTACATCGGCCGTCGCAATAAAAATAACTATACCAGTGTTTGAGGAAAATGTCACTATAAGGATATGCCGACGGGGCTATTGCGGCGGTTTGGCCGTCGCTATTACAACCGCGGGTAAAGGTTTTCTAGTTTTTAGCGATGCTTTTTCCTGCTTTTAGCGGCATTTTGGGCCGCTGCTAAAAGTGAATTTTTCTGTAGTGACACTTGATTGATTTAGGGCTCGTCACGGAGCCGTGTAATGTACATGTAGAAAGTGAAGACGAAGAAGCCATTGCAAGAAAGAGAAAAACAATCTCTATTTGTTCAACAGATTTTTAGCCCCTTTAATATAACAAAAACAATAATAATTTGGACAAGTACTACTGCATGATCAAACTAACCACAAAACTTCATATGTTAACCAATGAAACTTCGGGTTTAATTTTGGTAAATGACTTGAAGTTAGGGCTATGTTAATTAAAGCTGTACTGTTTGGTTGCTGATAACATGTTGGAAAAGTGGTGAGAAAAAAATATGTATTCCGATGTTGAATTTGTACAATTGCAGCAGGGATAGAAAAAACTAACCGCTATCAGAAAAATCGATTGAGATCTCTAATTTTTTTTTTCCCATTTCATTTTCTTGACAACCAAGCAGAACGTTATGAAACGTTGAAACAGAGAAAACTGAATCCCGTTCTTATAAGAATACAAAATCGATCATAAAACCGAACATAATAATCGGATTTCTGTGTTTCTAAACTTTCTTTCAATCGAGTCACAAAGATGAACAGATTGATAAAACTAGAATGAATGTATATAAGCATAGAGAGAGAGAGAGACATTGCTTGTGTATATTTATTTTGAGAATGTGTAGTTTGGTGTTAATTATGTTTATAGTTACGAGGCAAAAAAATGGTTTAAATAAGTTGAAAAACGTATTATTGTCAAGTTGGGAGAGGTGTTTTTTTTTTATATACTTTTTGATTATAAGAATTTGTGATATTGCTAGTTTACTATCATTGTGACTTGCTTGGGGATGTGGCCTTGAAGTGTCTAAAAATGGTAATACCTTTTTCTTTCTTCTTCTTCTGTCCTCTATTTTTTATTTTTTATTTTTTTATGTTTCAAAATGCACATTGGGAGTAATATAAGGTTATTCATGTACTCCATAATCATCTGCACTCACTCTTTTAGATTTTTTGACCTAAACTCATATTTTCTTATCAATTTCTATTGAAAGTTGTCCATCTGGCGAGGATGATAACACAGCTACAACCAACACACCGAAGAGGCAAAAGATTTAGTGGAAGAGGTAAAAGTTTGCGGAAAGATTGTTCTATGATTACTTTCGTCACCTATGTGTGTTCTTATGTTGCTTCAATTTTAATCCTGTTGTTAGCTCCTCATTCATATAATGAAGAACTGTTTTTGTTTTTTTTGGATCAGGTGTAATGAGGAACCTTAGTACCTATTATCTAGAAAGAATTAACTTGAAATGTTTTTGAATGTCTTTTTTTTAAAATTTTTTTTCCCTTTCGTTTTGTCCTTGCTAGTGTTGATTGCTACAACAATGCTTACAAAATACATTCAGTGTACTACAAATTATTATGTAGGTCAACAGTATGGCTGTGTACCCCTTGAATTACACACATTTTAAATGTTCTTGTGGTTCTTTTATTAATTGGAATAACAATTACTAAACAAATCAACTTCTTTGGATTCCAAGAACTCTCATTAAATGCTCCTTAGTAGACTTTATTATTGGGCCTCGCTGTGGTAGAACCTAGTGAACCAAGCGTAGGAATTCAACTCCGGATCTACTACCAACCCCATTTAACCCTAGCAGGTCCAGGTGCCTGCCAAAGGAAAAGATGGTAGAAATGCTCAGGGGATTGAAAGAATGAAAATGGCCAGAAGATTGGGGAATTTATTCCTTGAAAATCTTATCTATGTCAAATCAAAAGATTTGTGTTTGGTTCATAAATTTAGGAAGACATTTGGATATGAAAACGGAAAAGATATACGAAATTAGGTGAAATATAAATGTATTTTATTTACATTTCATCTTTTTTTTTTCCTTTTTTTTAATATATCAAACACCTTCCTAAATTCATGAACTAAACACAATCTAAATAAGCAAAAAAACAACTTAAAAAAAATTGCGAAACCATACTATATATATATATATATATGTTAATGGATTATGATTAGATGCAGGCTGGCTGGGTGGAAAAGGAAGTTGCTGTCTTTTGCTGGAAGACTAACACTTGTTAAAGCTGTCCTATCTTCACTACCAGTGTACTACTTGTCACTTTTTAGAATGCCTGAAGGGGTTGCTAAAGAAGTTAAGAGGCTCCAAGCAACATTTCTATGGGGAGGATCAGAAATTAAGAAGAAATCCATATGGTTAGATAGGGGGAGCTGTGCAAAGGTGTGAAACAAGGAGGGTTAACCTTTGCTTATTAATAAAGTGGTGGTGGAGGTTTGGGTGTGAGAGTGAGGCTTTGTGGAAGAGAGTTATATGCAGCAGGTATAAGTTAAAGAATGCAAGCTGGCTGCCTCCTGCTATGCCTGGGAATAATCAGTCAAATGTGTAATCTTCTGAATAATTTGGGAGCAGGACCTGCAGTGAGGGTTGATCAAGTGGATAGACCTTTCTGGACAACATCATCTTCAGGTCAGTTTTCTGTTGCCTCTTTGTATAGTCTTGATGCCTGCAATAGTAGCCCAACTCTCCCAATTACTAAGTTGGTGTGGCTTAATTTTATCCCACCTAAAGTTCAAGTATTTGGGTGGTTAGCTTGGAAAAATAGAGTGAAGACTGTGGAGTTTTTGCAGAGAATTGGTGTTCTGTCTGGGAATGCGGCTGATCTGTGTGTGTTTTGCAAGATTGAGGGTGAGTCAGTGAACCGTGTTTCCATCTGTTGCCCATTTGTGTGGAGGGTCTGGGCTATTACGTTGAATTGGTGGGGGACTCAAGGGCCATTACCAGGCTCGATGGACCAGCTGCTGCTATGGTGGGCTGAGGGAAGGATGAAGAGGCTGGAAAGAAAGATTTGGAGTGCTATTCTTCTGGCAGTGCTGCTAACCCAAATTTGATGGAGTTGTGTGAATTGGTTAAAACTAGGATTGCTCTGTGGTTGATTCCAT